CCCCCCCCCCCCTCCCAGTTTCTCATTAGAAAATCAAAATTTTTTACATTGCTCTATTTGGGAAGTGATAAAACTCTTTAAAATAATTCCTGAGTTTATGTATCTCCTAGTAGTATATACTTGTGATGTAAAGTCATAGGAGCTTTCAAGGACTTTGTCGGTGTATGAACAACCGTTATATTTTTAGTTCGAATTAGGGTGAAATTTTACGATCAGATCAGTCAGATCTTCGTTTGTTCATGGTATTAATTGGGACAAAAGTCCTGTTCCTCATCCCAATATCAGTGTCAGTGTAAACGTTTGTGACGAATTTAATAATAATAATACATTCGTATTAGTTCGCTATTGCCCTTGGTGCAAATGTGTCTGGTATCATCCTCTCCATGGCTGGAGTATCCTATGCAGTTGGTGTGTGGATTGTCCTTAACTCAGACTGTGGAGCTACTCTTACCGTTGAAGGCATTGGCCCGACACTTACAGCAACTGGTGACAAATGCATATGTGTTTTTAAGGTTTATGATGACGAAGAGACATCTATATGTAAGTTCAATGATGATGATTTATTTGATGATCGTTGTTGGTTTAGGTGCCCAAAGCAGAGGAAGCGTGTTTCATCGTCTTTTATTATTTGTAGTCAACGCAAGTTGCTCGGATTTAGAAACTGTTCGGGATGCCTATGCAGCAGTTGCGCTTCTCTATGCTCTTTTGTTGATTGTGTCTGTCGTGGGATCTATACTAGGCTGCTTCGGAGCTTGCTGTGGAAATCGGGTATGTTGATTGACTGTATTTGTATGTATTATTATGTTTAGGGTTGAAGGCCCCACCCTTCTGGAATAGCTACGATAGTGTGGTGTGGTAGAGATGATGGTGGTGGTGACGTACTATGGAGGTGATGATAATATGATAGTGATGATGATATGCATGATGACGATGATGGTAGTGATGACGATGATATGATGATGATGGTGTTGGTAATGATGATGTTGTTGATGATGATAATGATGATTATGATGATGATGGTGGTAATGATGATGATGATATGATGGTGATGATGATGTGGTGGTGATGGTAATGATGATGATATGATGGTGATGATGATGTGGTGGTGGTAATGATGATGATGATGATATGATGATGATGGTGTTGGTAATGATGATGTTGTTGATGATGATTATGATGATGATGGTGGTAATGCTGATGATGATGATATGATTGTGATGATGATGTGGTGGTGATGGTAATGATGATGATATTATGGTGATGATGATATGGTGGTGGTGGTGGTAATGATGATGATGATGATATGATGGTGGTGATGATATGGCGGTGGTGGTAATGATGATGATGATATGATGGTGATGATGATGTGGTGGTGGTGGTAATGATGATGATGATGATGATATGATGGTGGTGGTAATGATGATGATATGATGGTGGTGATGATATGGCGGTGGTGGTAATGATGATGGCGATGATGATGTGGTGGTGGTGGTGGTAATGATGATGATGATGATATGATGGTGGTGATGATATGGCGGTGGTGGTGATGATGATGATGATGATATGATGGTGATGATGATATGGTGGTGGTGGTGGTAATGATGATATGATGATGATATGGCGGTGGTGGTAATGATGATGATGATGATGATGATATGATGGTGATGATGATGTGGTGGTGGTGGTGGTAATGATGATGATGATGGTTGTGGTAATGATGATGATAATATGATGGTGATGATGATATGGTGGTGGCGGTGGTGGTGGTAATGATGCTGATGATGATGATGATGATGGTGGTAATGATGATGATTTATTAGTTTAAAATATTTACGTTTGTTGATAATAATAATGATTATATTGCAGTTGATAGTAAAGAGTATATTATTAATGAGACTGACGATGATGGTGATTGTTTGTGATGGCATTGGTCATTACTTCAGACACATTGCTTCCTATTTTGATATTCTCTATAGAAAGTTTTGAAAATCTACGAATATTTTGCTGTAGGGAAATCGTCGACGCCGTGGAATGGCATCCCCACCTTACGTGATGCCTTCAGGAGACCCAAATACTATGATGATGACTACACTCGGAGAAAGGCGCAACTTTGATAACGACCCTTACAACAAACAAGCCAGATATGTTCGCAAGGGGCAATATATCCAAGAAGCGTACCATAAAGCTCCTTATATCGAAGAAACACCTTACTTGAAACGAGAACCTTTAACTGAAGAAAGACCTTACTCCAAGCGGGAGCTTTACACCGAAGAAAGACCTTACCCCAAGCAAGAACTTTACACCGAAGAAATACCATACCCAAAGCGAGAGCGTTACACCGAAGAAACACCATACCCCAAGCGAGAACCTTATACTGAAGAAACACCATACTCCAAGCGAGAACCTTATACTGAAGAAAGACCTTACTCCAAGCGGGAGCTTTACACCGAAGAAAGACCTTACCCCAAGCGAGAGCTTTACACCGAAGAAACACCGTACCCCAAGCGAGAACCTTATACTGAAGAAACACCATACTCCAAGCGAGAACCTTATACTCAAGAAACACCATACTCCAAGCGAGAGCTTTACACCGAAGAAAGACCATACTCCTCGCGAGAACCTTATACTAAAGAAAGACCTTACTCCAAACGAGAAACTCGCACCGAAGAAAGACCATATATTGTTGAGGAAAGGCACTACCACAGTGATAGAGGTTATCTAGATCTTCAGGAATATCCATCGGATTTACCACCTCGTTCCCTACCAACTCGCGAAGGGCACCATCTCTTTGCTGGGTATACCAATGAAAGTTTCGACCGCACAGGAAACTTGTGAAAAAGTTGATAATATTATGGACGGCCCCTAAAGAGGCTTCAGACGTTAGTGTTGTAGATAATTATTTCTGAGGTTAAGAAACGGAAGCGTTTAAGTATTAATGTTCGGCACTATTCGACGACTTTAAAAAGTTTATGGAG